TTGATTTCGCCGTCACGGCGCCACAGCGACAGGCGACCCTTGCCCAGGCCAGCATGCAGGCTGGAGCCGCGGCGGAGGCGTACGCCCGCCACAAGGAGGACCACCTTGGTACGGCAGCGGCATGTCAGGCGCAAGGAGTCCAGTTCGTGCCCTTGGTTGTTGACACGACCGGGCATTGGGAAGCTGGCGCTGGCCGCGTCCTCAAGCAGGTTGCTGGGGCGGTTGCTGCCCGCAGTGGAGCGGAGCCAGGCCCCCTGTACGATTCGCTCCTCCAAGAGCTGAGCGTCGTTGTGCACTCTTTCCGTGCCCGCGCCGTCCTGCGGCGGCGCGCCGAGTTGGAGACGTAATTGCCTTGTACCTTCAGTTCTCCTCGCTTGGCCTCCTGGTGTGGTCACCCGGGGCACCGCGGTGGTGTCAAGGGGGCTGATAGACAGTCCCTGGTGTGGGCCTGCCGTGGTGTGCTCGGGTTGACAAGGGAGGGCCTGGGGCGGGATGCTTGTGTGCAGTCGGTAGACGCCGCTCGCACATTACCCGCTTTCAGCATCTTTTGGCATGCTTGGGCACTTGTCACGCGGTGATGCAGCCCATGTTCCTTTTGTGTTCGTTTTGCTGTTGGGGAGCTGCGTGCGGCTGCATGCACCCGTACGTACAGCTACTTCTTTCTGCTGCTTCCACAAGTGTTGTAACTATCGGGTCTGTATGTATGTATGTATGTATGTATGTATGTATGTACGTATGTACGTATTGTATTGTCTATACTCTATACCATTTACATCTATATCTAGAGCGAGATCTACATCGTATGCATGTGTGTGTATATATATATATATATATCATCTATCTTGTGTGTGTGTATGTACCTATTATAAACATACAAACATGCTCTGGGGTGTTGGGAGTAACTGAGCTGCCCCGGCAGTTGCGAAACGTTCGCCTGTGTGTGTGTGTTTTTTTTAGGATGCCCGAGTCGTGGTGTCGCGGTTTGACCGCTCGCAATGTAAATCTGGTCTGGGGGGCTCGCAAGGCCCTTAATCCCATACTGGGTTCTTGTGAAGGGATTGAAATAACAGGGATCTATAGTGAATAATATGGTTTGACTACTATAGCAACTTTAATGAAATCCCTCTAACAAGAACCCTTAAAACCCGAACCCCCCTAAATGCTAGCCCCATCTTACAGGGTGGGTGAGGGGCCATGAGGTCAAGGTGGTCAATTCGATTGTGCGTCGACCTTTTCCTCGGCTCTTTAGAGCTTTAGATGTTGTAGGTTTCGATAGGGGCCTTAATAATTAGACTAGGGTTTTGGGGCCCAGTATGCTATAATCATAATAATAAGGAACCCCCCCAAAATAGCATGGGTAACTATTCAGCTTTAGGAGCTGTACCGTTGAAGATTATGTCCGTTTAAGCTAACGCGCAGGATTACATAAGACCATGGGGTTTTGGCAGCTTTCCGGGGTTTAGGGTTTATAGGTTTCAAGGTCGTAGGCAGTGGGGTTGGGTGTGAGGGTTTGGGGCTTTAGGTGCGTATCACGTTTCCCAGATCTGCCCAGGGAGCCCTGTTTCTTTTGTTCTGTTCTTGGGTTCCGTGTAACACTAACCTATACCAAAACTAGGTCTCCCACTAGACCCTTTGTCCCTTTTTGTGGTCTAAGTTTCCTTCTAAACCTACCCAAAACCAAAAAGGGAGCCCTTTTTATTCCTAGGTTACCGGGCATCCTAGAAAAAAGTCGCCCCTTTTCCCTAGGTTATTGCAGGTTCTGGGACTGAGAGAGGGCCTTGTCTCAGGTGCTCCACGCTGTCAGTGGAGCTGCTGTGGAGCTGAAGAGGCCGGGGCTTACCCATAGGCCCTAAGGTAGTTCCTTTTGGGGTTCATATATAGAGTCCTATAAGGTAATCCCAAAAAGGAACTACTTTGGGGCCTATGGGTATCGCTTTGGGGGGTTAAAAGGGCTCATTGCTGTTGAGTTTCGGGTTTAGGATGTGCCTTAAGAACCCAAAACCTACTTTTGTAGGGTCCCTATAAATCCCATATTAGGGTTTATAATAAGAACCTACAGAAAAGTGGCTTTTGGGTTCTTAAGGTATGGCCGAACCGTAGATTCGGTTTCGGGCTAGGGGTGCAGGGCTTCGAGGGTTGAGGGATCAGCGCGGGGATCCATGACATTCCTCTATGTGTGTGTGTGGTTGTTCTAATAAAGCCACAGGATCTTTTTGGCGTGGCCTTGCAACGCGGATCCTGGCATTTTGGAATGTTGGCCATCATTCCCGGAACCTGCTTTTGCAAGTTAAGTCTGCATGAGCCCGGAAATGGATCCTCGTACTGAAAGTATTAAAAGCAGCGAATTCGCGAGAACGCTTGTGGCTTGGGTCGCGGTTGGTTACAGGCGAGTAAGCATGAGAAGGCCAACAGCCCGTCTGGCGAAGATGCTTGTTGCCTACCGTGCTCAGTCCGATGCACGTTGTGCCGTGAAGCAAGGATTGCTGCTGCTCAGAGATGCAGAAAAGATGCTCGAGCGAAAGGGGCCACCCTACCCTGTTGTACTGAGTCATTGTACTGGAGAGTCTTGCGGTCTGCATCTTTGAGAAGATACGACAAAATGCCCATACCAGCGTAACTGCAAATGTGTAAACACACGCGCATACTTACATCAGCACGTCTCAAATCGGGGCGTGCAACATGCCCTGGCTGGCGTGCCCCTTACGAGCGTGAAAAGGGGGCATTGTGTTTTATTCAGGTGAGCGGTTGATGTGGTCGCACTTTTCCCCAAAATAAGAAGCATCCCTACGTGGGGGACACTCACACAGACCAGACTAGCCATTCTGATTACAACTCTTAATCTTGAGACGCTGCACCGTGCAGGTATTCAGGCTCCTGTGTGTAACGCCACGCTATTCAGATAATGGAGAGGGTACAGTCTCTGCAGCTCAGATCTAGTACCCTGTTCATGTTCATGAGAACATCCCAAGCAGGATAAACAAGCCCCTAAATTCCGAGCCCTAACCCTAAGGCTCCATGTACCCATATAGTAGATACTTAGGCCTTAAAGTACCTATATAGAGACCCCTTTAAGGCTTAAGTATCTACTATATGGGTACATGGAGCCTTTGGGTAAGTGGGTCTTCTGAGCGTCTCCGCAGTCAGAACTTCATGTTACATTGGGTACTTCCTTTCTGGGATTCTCCATCAACGCCTGAACGAGCATAACGGACCCATAACGGGTCTGTTCGGAAGAGGTCTAGGATTTAGATGTTAGTTTGGGGCTTAGGCTGCGCTTTGTCAAGGATGTTGGGTTGGGGTTCAGAATTTTGGAGCTGCACGGTTGGGGCCTGGGATGTTAAACCCTAAACCCTAAACCCTAAACCTCAAACCGTGTTGTGGGAATTCGGGAATCTGGCCAGGCAACTTTATGCCCGCCGACTGGTGCTTCTGTCTGCAGTTGGATAGTACTATACCCTGTATCTATCCCTAGCCTGTGCAACGTCCATACTCGGCTTTTCACTGAGATGTCCTAGCCAGCTGGTTGTAGGGTCCCTGTTATTCTGTATCAGAGTTTGTTTCAAGAGTCGAAGGCCAGAGTGAGTAGGGTCTGGTAGGCCGAGTCAGGTCACGAATACCCTTACAAACCCCACTGACTGTTTGTGGCTCCTGAACATTCAACACGGACCGCCAGCTCTAACTTGCCTTCATCGTAAACCCCAAGGCCCTAACTAACCCTGAATCTACACCCCGTCGTGATCCCCAAAAACCCGGATGTATGTTCGGACTTACTTGGGACTTGTGAAGCTACATGGGCTCTAGGGTTTAGGATTTAGGGTTTGGGGTGTCATGTTGGGATCTTCCTGTTGCGGCCGAGTGGTAGGAAAACGGATACCCTCGGCCCTCGTTTTTGAGGGGCTTGCCGTGGGACCTAGACAATCCTGACCAAGAATCCCTCCAGCAGCGCCACTGAATACAGGAGCCCCGCAAGCGCCACTAGTGCGCACCCAAAACCGCGAGTGCTGCAAGACCACCACCAGACACTACCCCTGAACCGAGATGAGAGAAGATGGCTGTCTGACTACCCCATCTTGAATACGGTCATGCCCCAACTGGTATGACCTAACTTCGAACACAGTAGAAGCAGCGACATCCCCTAGCCTACTCGTGTTGGATCCATCCCTCTCGATTCGTCGATGGGGCTCCGTGTTCCATGTGTTTTTGGTGTGTGTAGGTTCTGCAGTTGGGGCTGCAACCTGAACCCTAAACCCTAAACCCCTATGTAGAGCCCTAAACCCTAAACCTTTTGTGAGTGCTGAAAGGTTTAGGGTTTAGGGTTTAGGGTAGGTGAGAGGTAAGGGTCATGAAGCTGCAGGGGCTCTCAGTTTCAGGTTGAGGCCAAGTTGAGGCTTTGAGGTTGGTAGGCTTAAGGATTATAGGCTTAGGTTTAGGGTTTATACGTATAGTTTGGAGTCAGAGGGTTTATCAGGTTATATAGCATTGCCTGTTATTCCCATGTGCTCTTCTGCTTGGGTCTGGCCTCTGGGCCTCTGGAACCTTAAACCCTAAACCCTCAANNNGCCAGCTTCGTGCGAGTGTGTGAGTCAAAACCCACTTTGAACTCGTTCTGTTCGCGATCCGAAGCACTTCAAGACGAACACCCATGCCCCAAAGCCCCGCTTAGGGCCGACACGCTTCGATGGGGCCAGAGCTGCAGGGTACGGTTGAGGGTCGGGTTGATGTCTAGAATTGTATAGGTTTTCGATCATAAATGATTATATGAAAATCGCTTGGCTTGCGCCGAATGCTCCAGCTTTTCCAGGCATTCCGCCTGAATCCGAGTCACTGCAAGCCCATGCTTAGGTTTGGACAGGTATGTCGCTGACTAGCCTATATGCTCGATTTGAGTTTCGGGGTTTTGGCTTTAGGCTTCAGGGTATAGTAAGTGTACATGGTGGTTACACCGGCCCGCCTTATTTTCGCTCCGGCGGGGTGGGAGCGACTGCAGCCAGCACGTCTTGGATTATTCGAGGGCTTGGGGGGTTCAATTTCATGATTTCATGTCCTTGGGCTGTCATGCTGCTGAAGTTTGAGACGTTTTGTTGACGTAGACGAGCCGAACTGTGCCATTCGGCCACACGGGGTCGAGGAGGAGCCTGAAGATCATGGCATGGCTGGTGAAATCTACGCATGAAAAAGGATCCTGTGATTTTGGGGTCTATCAGGAGACCCTTCCTATCAGAAAGTCCCATCTGGTGATTCTTCCGAGACGTACGTAGAGGATGTACCTTCGGGCCTTCAGAAAGCCATGCATGGCAATAGCCTGCGTTTTGCTAGCATCACTTTCGTCCTGTAGTTCTGCGCATGATCATGCCTGTGACCCCACACCTTTCAACATAGGGCCTGTGTGATTTATAACTTACGGGGTGACGAGCAGGTCCTTTTTGAAGAAATTTGGAAAAGTTACTGTCGCGAAATCACATGCACATCCG